CCGTCACATTATAACGCATTGGTGAGACGGGGATGAGGCAGAGGAAAGAAGAAGGTGTGACAGAGGAAACTATGGCTGAGCTGGCCATTAAGGAATTATCAGGAGAACTCAACATGAAGTGTCCAAAATGCAGAAAAACACAAGAAAAATGACTAGAGAAGTAGGCTTGGAGACAAAAGTTAGACCAGTCCTGACATATTTCCCCAGCTAATGCTGAGGGATGAGGAACAGGGGCCAGAAAAGGGGAGAGTAGAGTGTTGAGAAGAGTAGGAAAAAAACATCGAGAATAAGAGTTTCCAGATGAGAACACAGCAACTAGAACACCAGATCTGACCCCCAAATCTGAAGAAAAGACTCCAGAGTTTAGGAGTCAATGAAAAGCAATACAGTATGAAGTCATGGCTAGTCATATGAGGTAAAAAAGGAAGGAGGACGAGACATGTATTTCCCAAAGTAATGGCAAAAGTAACTGTATATGAAAAACATAAACAAGAAACCTTATCCCAAAATCACAAAAAAGCTGAGGTAGAATCAAGATAATATAAATATAAAATGAGGCAAAGGTAGGTGGTGGAAAAAAAATTAGCAAAATCTGTTCCGTCACGATTGAGAAACAGGTGAAGGTATGTCAGGGGCAAAAGAAGGCCCAGACTGGATGAAAGATTCCACCACCCGCCACACAAAAATCGTCACCTCTCCCAACAGATAAAGATAAACCCAACACCAATATAGTTGGTAAGCTAGTGTGAACAAAGTCATGTTGTTTCACACCAGACAAATTGGAAGTTGTTGACACTTGTGATACAATGCCTTTTTAGATTCTTCCACTAAAAAATGCCTACACCTGAAAAAAATAAAATAAAAATACACGTCATTACATGAAAGTGCCAAATTTAGAAGTGATTATCGTGCTATACAGTATAGAGGGAGTCAGCTGTACTAGGAGGATGTGTCACACTCCTATTGGTGGAGGGTTATTGCATGCTACAATGCAACTATACTACATGTAAACACGTGATGTTAGGTGGGAGCCTCAAAGTTGGTGGTCACTGAAAATTGAGCACATAGAGGGCAGCACAATTCAAAATTCAATTTCTGTTAAATGTTATTACTGTATTAAACTTACAGTAGATTTGGAGTTTCTCTTGTAGAGTTTTATATTTGAATAAGGCCTACAAAGAAATGTGGCAGTAACAACATTTACTGAAGAAATAAATTAATTTATTATCGTCATGCAGACTGGACTTGAATAATTCTTACCATATAATCCAAAAGAACCTGACCAAAAACTGAACATGTTACAACTATATTACATTCCTTATTAACGAACTGGATAATAATCAACTCCTTCTCAACAAGCCTTTTTTCAATAGTATTTCATATCTATTACCATACTTAGTACAGTGGTACTATAAATAAACCTATTTTAAAAGTTACCGATAATTTCTTTACCAATTCTTTCAGACTACATTCTAAGCTATTATATTAAATGAACATTGTTCAGTAAACCTTCTCCATTTCTTCTTATTTCCAAAGCAATAATCTTACATACAATGTTTTTGTACTTTAAAAACCTTACCAAGTAATCCTTCTCCAACTGTTCCTCCAAATCCATCATCTTTTAGAGGAGCATCAATGGAAAAATTGGACTTTGAATTAGAAGGACCTTGCTGGCTAACTTCATGAGATTCATGTGTTGTATCTTCAGGTTTATCTTTGTTTCTCTCTTCTCCTAACAGCAGACTAGCATGATCAAAACCTTCATCAATGTTTGTTGCATCTCGAGCCAATTCAGGATCATCAAAACCCATATCACCTGGAAAATAAAAACAAAATAATCTGGAGGTAATCATATTCTGGTTAATAAAAAAATGATTATTGTTTCTCTTTTTTCTTCTCTGTATGAAATGTTACTTCTGCATGATTAACTTAAACAGCAAATAAAAGGGTTTGACTAACTATTTATTACATTTTTATATATTAGATAATTAAATCTGAACATAGCCTTATTTGTTTTACCGAACAAAGTTTAGGGTAAATTCATCAACTGATATAACACATCTTTTACAAATAACTGATTCCACAAAAACATAAGCATGTCAATTCGCAACTTAGCCATGTATAACTAGTGGAAATAATTTAGTTTGTTCACAATTTTCACAAGAGCACAAAACACATGTTGGAGGGCAAGAGCTCACGTACACTTTAGAAAATATCAGGATATAATTTACAATCAATAAATAATTTGCAGAAGTACTGACCAGCAGTAACTTCAGCAAATTTAGTGAGCTTAATTAACACCTCTACTGTGTATCCTAGTACTCAATTTATAATGATTGGTACCCAATGCTAAATGTTTAAAGAAACTTTGGTAGTTTTGTGTATGCTTTTAGAGGGGTAAGACGTCATGAAAAAAATTGCAAATTTTTTTTTTGCATGTGAAAATGGTGAATATTATAAATGACTCCTTATATTAATTAATAAAGCACATACATATGGATCTGGCAACTAATTTAATGCAGGGGAGTCAAACTAAAATCAACATTATTTATTTTGAATCAATCAGTTATGAAAGACATGCAAATTAATGTTTCTATACAGTAAGTATGAAAAGGAGTAAATACATGAAAGGGTGTGTTTGTTTGATTTTTTAGCAAAGCCCCATTGAGCTATCTGCTGTGTCCACCATGGGGAAATCGAACCCCAGATTTCAGAGTTGCAAGTCTGTAGACTTGCTGCTGTTTCACCGGGGGACTACATGAAAAGGGAAACTCAAGTCATTGTCTTAAAAGCAATATTTTTTCTAAAAATAGAATGACAGAAAGAAGAATTTGGATGTACAAGGCCGGTAACTGACACTAGACTTCTGTTATAAGTTGTTTATTCTATTAAGTCAAGATATATACACCATACATATAGAACCACAAAAGGAGCTTACACATCTACTACCATACACCTGTAGTGAATAACTTATGCTACTAAACCATAATACTGTCATATAACATATTACTTAACTCAACATATTTCTTACACACATAGAATAATCTATTATAACATGAATTTATTTATATTGTTATCAGAAAATGGTGAAATGCAATAAAGTAAAGTAATGTTCGTACCAAACTCACCGAATCCATCATCAGCCATAAGGTTAAGAGTTCCATAATCTTCCTTAAGTGTTATATCTTCTGCTCGGCTTTGATTTAAGGCCACTGGTGTTTCCATGCCTAGATTACTGTGAAAAGATAAGATTATATTTATATTCAAAAAATAATTCAGAAACTGAAATACATGTAATATAATTTTTTATTTAAAATAAGACCAGCTTATTCAAAATGTTGATTACATGCAAATCAACAAATGTTTAACACACTGTTGTGTCATTTCTCAGTTTAATTATATAAGTTCTAAGAAGCATAAAAAATTTACTTGATATCTGGAACTGTATCAAAGTCATGAAAAACTTCTGGCAAAGTGATGGTGGCCACAGCTGCTTCTCTATTTTCTTCTGGTAGATCTACTATCCCTGGTCGGAAGGCCATTTTGATCTTGATGAAAGCCTCATTGCAGTCAGCTAGAAGGTACTTAGCTTTTCTCGAGTAGATTCGAACAATTCCCAACAGAAGATGGCCTGATGTCCGTAAAGCCATTTTGACCTGATGAGTTAAAACAAAAGCATTATTTCAAAGCAGTGTTTACCCAAAGAAAATGTTGCCAAACCAATAAGAAGTGACAATAAAATTGGTAACCCACAGACAGATTTTGTCAACACTTAAACTAATAAAACATTGAAATCAGTAAATGCTAAAATAACAACTATCAAAATAAATCATATGTTAAAGTACTTGTATTAAAAACACATAATTACATTAATTAAGCAGAACAAACCAAAAGTATCAGAAAAGATGGGCTCATGGATCAGTTTCTTTCCTAGACTGTAGTCTGTGGACCGAAACTATATAACTAGGTAAAGCATGTTCAGAATATTTGCTTAATTTAAATTCCTACTGTAGGCCATCAATTAATTATATGATTTTAAATAAATAGCAGAGTTAACATTTAAAGAAAGTTCTCATAACCATCACAGGACTGGTTTGCTTAGTGACAATTTCATTTTGCTAATTTGAACAAAATAAAATATTTATGGGTTTTTTGTGTCATCTTAGAAGGATTTAAAGTAATTCAAAAGGACTCAAAAACCCCATAGGTATTATATACACATCACCATTATAAGAGGCATAACTGTATCTCTTTGGTTTGCTAACCCAAGCTGTGCTGATGAGCCTTTAACAGGTGAAACTGCAGTCCAAAGTAGAGGCTATGGCCAATCAAGAAATGCATTAGGGCCTCTAGGTCACAGATTATCTTTTCAATTTTACCTTCAGTGAAAAAAGAAAAGAAATCTGTAATATATATATAAAATAAAATATGATTTAAAAAACAAAACAAAAACAAAAAACAGGGGCTGGATTTGGCCCATGAGCCACTAGTTGACCATCTCTGATATATGGATTTACCACTCAATGTCTTAATAAATGTGACAAATTAAGGAGTGCTTTAAACTAAAAAAGAGCAGTTGGAATATAATGCTTCATAAAATAAATTAAGAAAAATGTAATTAAGTTTTGTTTTTACAATAATTTTCCAATACAGGAATAGCTAATTTTGATTATAATCACTGAATTAAAGAAAGTTTCTTGTTAAGAAACTGAAACCTGAACTAAACCAACTGGCTAAAGTTAACATTTTCCTTACCAGAATATATATTTCCAATAGATGCTTACTTCTCTGCACACAGAAGCTGTTCCTTGCATATATACCTTTGACATCTTGCAGATGTTGCCAGACTTGAACTATCTCCTACCTAAGACATGTTATAACATGAAATGCACTAGTGCATGATGTAATCAACTTGCAATAATAGCCCTACACCAATAGGAGAACATCACATCCTCCATGCACACTAGATCCTCATAAGCACTTGCGCTCAAAATTAACTTCATTCTTAGACAGGCAAGAATAATGTGCACAAGTAGTGGGAGGAATAGTGGGAAGTATTCAGAGAGGTAAGTATCTACCAGAAGTACATTTTCAAAACGATAGGCTTACCTCTCTGCACACAGTAGCTAGAATCTCACAATCATGTGATGGAGAGGGCTGGTGCAATTGCAAAAACCTAGATGAGCTCCCTTCGAATGGAGAAACTGAAGGAGGAAACCCAAGGAATGTGACACCCTATAGTGAGGATTTACTGTATAGTCTGATCATTGCCTTAGCCACACTACATCTCATGCCCACATCCATCTCTTACAGTTTATATTCTTCATCTGGATGGAAGTATGACAGGAGGAAGGCAAAATGGGCCCATGTGTCACAGGATGGACAGAAAAAGACATGTCCAACTAAGCATTAGTGCATAACAAGTCAGATAGACATGAGGTGTAGTGTGGCTAAGGCAATGATTAGAGTATACAGTTTAATATGTGTTTTGTTGTACAATTGACTAAAGGAATAAGAACCATGTCTCTTCCTGCTACAAAAGGAGTACAATTTGCCCTATCCAGTGCTCCACTGGATGAATGGGAGGGGCAACTCGTACTGGAAAGACACTAGAGAGGCACTTAGACTCAATTGGACCTAGCTACTGGAGAAAGTGCAATGTGTTGCCATGAACCTAATTCAAAAAGTTGGAATGTGCAAGCCAGGAAACTGGGTGCAGACACTCCTCCCATTGCTAGCTTTTTCCATGAGAGTCGATGGACTGTATGGTCTAGAATGGACATTGAAATATCTCTTTCTCTCTCTCTCTCTCTACTCTATATATATATATATATATATAGTGGTCTTGCTGAAAACCCCATCTTAACAATAGACACTTTTGAAGCTAGGATTAATGGATTTAGTGCTTTCCATTACCTCTAACTTGACGCAGGTTTAGAAAAGTAAGTATACCTCGTGAGTCAACACAAGCCATCAGGTAAGTTTTGAATAGAGGAATGGAAGTACTTTATAAACGGATAAAGAAAGAAAATGACACACTTACTCATTAAAAATGATGAGTAAACTGGAGAATGGTGATTGCAGGGAGACGATATTCTCAGGGAGATGAAACTGCCAGATGGCAGAAATAATGGGAAATGAGGAGTTGGGTGTAGTCCACATTCTATCTTGGAGGATCTTGTCCAAGGGTCTTCAAAATTGCAAGGTCAGAGATGAGTCAAATGGCAGATTTGACGTGATGAGATGTTATACAGCCTGTGAGTATCTCCATCCAAGAAGGAATAAATGATATCTGGATGAGTTGATGAATCCATTGGGTAAGTGTAAAGGAAGAGAGGTCCCTGGAAAAATAGAGGTCCCATGGCAAAAACATAAATAATTTCTAGAACCCTGAAATACAGCCATATGTGTGCCAAGTAACATCTGATCACCAGAAATTAACACAAAAGGTGATCGGGGTCAGTACAATCATAGAGGACCAAGATCAATGGAAGAAATATGTGAGAAAATGTTTGTTCTCCTTACTAAGACACCCAAGTCTTAGGAAGAAACAAGTGGTCAGGGAATAATATCAAGGAATATCTGTGGAACAAAGTATGGGAGGCATCCAATACATAAAGATCACATCTGCAAAGAACACAAGCAAGAAGGAGAAAAAAACAGGTTTTTAAATGAGAGGTGGTATAAGGAGCAAATGGTCAAGTGTTCAAATGGGGCCCAGGTAAGAGCATGAAGAACTAAGACTGGAACAAAGTGAAAGAACAGGAAAGAAAAGATGAAACCATAGCAAAAACAGCTAAAGGTAGTCAACAAGATTGCCTGGTAGCTTGTGATAGTATAAAGAGACAAACCTTGCTTGAACAACCAGGTAAGAAGGACAAAAGGTAAACTACAGTAGGATAGGATGGCCTGGTGGTAGAGAGCAGCAGTTTGGACACCAGCAAGAAACATGCCACTGTAAATAAATTTACAGAAAGAGAAAGTAGAACAGCAACATGAACAGTATAATAGAAAGGCTAGAAGTTCAGAGAAACCTGACCAGCAAGTAAGGGACTGGACAAATCCCACGTGTGAAGATGAAGAGACAGCACTTCTGGGTGAAAAAAGAGTTTGGAGCAAAAGTGACCAAAATGATGGCAGGGGAAAATGTTTTCTGGATGACAATCATTGTGAAGAAGAAACCAAGACTGAGGCAGCAAAAAAGGTGTTTCCAACAGGATCTGACAAGGAGTTTTACAAATCATAGCCAAGACATGTGAGAGAAGACAGAAAAGGGTACACATACAGAAAGAGATGAGACCAGTTCTGGTGAATGGCATCCACAGCCAGAGCTGCTGAGTGAAGTACCGAGAAGCAGAAGAGGGGGAGTTTGGTAGTGAGAGTAGTGACAAAGGCATTGATCATTGATGTACCCAACTATAAACAAATCCAATGAAAAACCTGAGGATATAGTGACCACACCGTAGGAAAACTCCTGTCCAGCAAAAAGAATTAATCCGCCAACAAGTTGAAAGTTCCTGGGACATGACAAGCTGTGAGATGAGCCTAATGTAAGTGAGACCAAAACAGAAAGTCTAACATACAGAAGCAAAAATCCTTGGAGTGAGCCCTACCAGGATGATTGTTGGAGTGGATCAATGGATCCACAAGATGAGGTAGAAAATAGGAACATGTCCAATAAATGGCTGTCCAGAACATTAATGTAGAAGGTATGCTCCACAGAAGACATCGGAGGCATGCCCCAACCCATAAGATATGCATTAGTGAAGTGATAGAAATATGGATTTGGGGGGGGGGGGAGGGATGCTGGCCATAGTATTGACAAGATCCAGTCACCAAGACATATGAGAAGAGAAGGCTGCAGCATCGCAAGAGAGAACAGAGGATTGTGAGAGACATTCCATTGGTTGCTCAAAGTCAACTGAAGAAGCTTCATGTGAGCCAAGCCTAGAGAGACAAGAAGTTTTAAAGATGCAAGAGTCCCTATAAGAGATAAAACTTTTCATGCAGGAAGTATAGAAGAAGCAAGAGTTGAGGTGACTAGATCCCTCATGTCCCACGGCCAAATTGGGAAGACTGAACCCAACTGAGTTGAAAATTGACAAAGACTCCAAAGTGGACTAAGTATTGAGTCAGAGTCAGAAATGACTTGGCAAATTGAACTAGTCAACCTGGATGAGCTGTCTCTTGGAGGAGAAGTGATGTGGCTGAGAAGGAGACCTCCTGAAAAGAGGCAAGGAAGATCCAGTCATTCATGTAACAATGGAAAGGAAGTATGTGACAATAGACATGGCAAGCAAATGCTTCCACATCTCTGTTGAAGGCATAAGGAGCCAAGGTAATATTCAAAGCTGGTATACCTGATCCCAGTGAACAAAACTAAGGAAACAACATGAAGACAAGGCAATCAGAATACAGAAAAATGCATCTGAGAATATAACTTTGGTCATTCCTAGTCCTCAGTTTTTGGGAGCAAATGACCCTCTCAATGACTCTCATGTCCAAAAGATCTGATACTGCAGTCTCAAGATGCAGAAGACATGAAGAGGAGGAAAAAGATCAGGAAAAGAGGACACATGAGGAAGAGACAAGAAGTGAAGAGAAAGGACTTGTGTAAGAAACTGAATAACCCACCAGTTGGCTGAAAAAGGGGCCCAAATGTCTGTGTACAGAAAAAAAATGTACCCCTACAAAGCCTGAGCTGACTGGGTATGACGAGAGGGAGTTACTGATGGGACATGAGACAACTTATACAATAAATTATTGTGCATTTTTAAATACTGAACATTTTTACTTATTTCATGGACTCGTATGCCCAGAGGAGGAGAAAACTCAATTAAACCTTAAGTATGAGAGTCATGTGGGAAGAATCAAAAGACATAGGAAAAAAGGAAAGTAAGAAGCAAACCTGAGTTATCAAAACCAAAAAAGTTTGGTGAAGGAGCACTGTCTTCAACCTACATTCATTACTTTAAAAGTTTGTAAGTACCACATGTAATAATCTGACCTCTCTTCAGATAACATTTTGGTTGACTTGACTTTATAATATTTAACAAGTATCAGTGTATAATACATTTTAAACATCATGTGACATTTTACACCAATAATATATAAATATGCTATATTAAATTAAACAAAATATTTCATTCAGTAAAACTATTTCTAATAACCATACAAAGAAATATTACAGTATCCCATTCTAAAATAGCTGAGACAAATTTGCTCTACATGATACAAAAAATAACCAAATAAACACAAAAAATACTAAATAATATATTTTATGTATTTGATCATGATAAAGTAGTGATCTATAATATACACAGGTAAATAATGTTACTCCAAGATACATTTCATATATTTAAACAGTACAGCAAATGTACTTACATCTTTAAATATTATTAGCATAATTTTAATGTATAAAAAGGGTGGTTTTGCATGAACCTATAATAATTTGCTTCTATAACTATTTTTCAACTTACCTTAGGCTGTAAAATACCTTCAACACTGCTTTCTATGTTAGTTTCAAAAACATGGGCTTTGGTTAACTTTTTGTCCCAATGAGCGGCCAACCAGATACGGGCTAAAGGGCCCTTTTTTGCCAATACAAAATGTGCGTAAAACATTTTTATGAAGCAGCTGTTATACTAAGCCAACACTGAAATAAAAAAAACACAATATTTATGTTTACTTATCAAATAACTCAGGAAAATGTTTACTTAAAACACTGAGATAATCTTTAGTATAAGCAAGCTTAAAACTGTAATAATTTGAATTTATTCTTTGAAAAATTGAAATATAAAATCATTACATATCTATGAAATTATAATAAAGTTAAAAAGTTACATCAGTAGTTTGATACTGCTGTTAATAATACTTTCTATATTTGTTTATACCCCCTTAACTTATCAATAATTCCCTTTTTTCATTTAAAATTAATTGTGAAAAATATTATAGATGCAGAAGAATGGTAAATCAGAATAATATAAACAAAGAACTATTCAAATGTCTTTAATAAATAAGACATCATAAAAAAGCAGCTTTTAATTGTGCTTTTAGAATATGAACCAATTTCAAAGTACATTGGTATGTTGCTATATGTTAAGATTTCGGACCATTATGCTGGTGTATGATGTATTTAAATAAAGTATTGATAATCTTTAGATAATATTGATACTGCAGACATTTTATGAAGCAACATTTTGTGTGCCTGAGGTTAATACATTTTTTATGATACAAAGTTCACATGCTTGTTGAAGATTTTTATAATAATGACTTTAACAAAACTGCACTCAAAAATTTGTCCACAAACGAAAAGGAATACTTGAGAGGAGATATTCCCAAGTTTACAAACAAGACAGCAATTCAAATGATTTACATCATAATACTATCTACTTAATAGACTTTGTAGACACACCTTTTTATGGAAAGAATAACAATTTTCAAATAAATCCCAAATGTGTATGAAAATATGGTATAATAATGATTGTTTGTAGCTACATTATTCAAGTATTAATTAACTAAAAAAAATACAGAAATTTGCACATCTTTCAATTACGCATGAAAAATGTATAACAGAATGTATGTAATAAAATGATAACAATAAACACAAAACCTGTAACTGAATGCAAATGATTATGCAAACTTAGGCATACAGAAGTTTGAATAATGTAAGAAAAACCAAGGTAACAGTCATTTTACCTATTAATGTTTTCCCTTCATTCACAAAAGAGCAGCTAATAATGCCACCCCAATCAAAAAGTAGAGCTTTTACATCCATGTAAGAATATAAAAGTAAGCAAGATGACTGAAGGCCATTCAGACCATCAAGGTCACCACTTTACACCTGAAACAACCAAACCAAATTATATGTAATCTTACTTATCAGCAAATACAGCCAACAAAGAACAGATAAATTTAAACTAACACACTAACAGCACACACTAAATCATCAGGCAAGTTGTTACACAAAGAAATAAGTGCAACAAGGCTAGATTTGAACTTCAAAAACTTGTATTCAATACTCATTAATATTCATGTTCACATTTTTAATTTTTCCATTTCAACATCCACAATGAAATTATTCAGACTCCCATAAATTGTAAACATCTTTATTTAAATATCTGATTTTCATACAATGTGAAAATAAGTCAGTCTTAATACTCTCTTTATATCTCAAATCTTTTAGAATCTGTTATCAATCTCTTAACCCATCTCTGTATTCTTTCAAAAGTGCCATAATCATTCCTGTAATATTGAAAATTATAAAGAAAACACAAAGTTGCTAAATATACTATTATAGTAATTAAAAAATATTATCATTTCTAACTAATTTTTTAATCCTATGTTCTTAAAGATAAAAAAGGAAACACTTAAATTAAAGTACGAATATTTTGTTTGATGTGTTGAAAATCATGTAAACATTTTGGTGTAACTAAAAAAAAGACATTTCTTTGCATAAGAAGCAGTTTATAAAAGCTGTATATTACTGAGTAAAAAAAATATCAAACATATACTGGTAAACACTTTCCTGTATTAAATGATAAATGTGACAAACTACCAATCAGGTGAATATTTTTCTTATTTGGTATCCTTTTCTTTGTGCTTTGTATAGATGGCCTGTTAAGTCACAGAATATGTATTGTTGACTGAAATTGTAAACAGTCCCACACAAATGACAGATCTAGATTATGTGTGGTGATTTCTCAGCACCTTCAAGTGTGTGTGCTTTAGTGAAAATTTAAGTGCAAATATACCTCATTTTCCACATTACTATAATGGCATTACTGCCATTACTATGGCATCTTGGTTACCAACTGCAACTGAAATATAAGTAAAAATCTCATTTTTTATATTAATAAAGGATTCAAAAATTAAAAATTGCATCAATTATTTGCTACCCTGCTTCCATGGTATCTTGTTTGCTAAAGACATCTAAAATATAGAAGTTTGCATTATTTTTTATGTATGTATCATTAACTAATATTAACTTCTGACCAGAGTAAACTCTCTACTTAGAGCAATGGTAATGAGCATAAATAATTAAATACATTTTCTTAAGTTCTTACTTATAAAGATTAGAATGCATTGTTACATTGGTTGGGTGCCCTTACTCTTAATACTTTTGGTCATAATGACCAGCATACTAAATCAAAGTATTATCAATTATTTACTAGATTGTTTCTGAAATATGACTGACACATTTTTAGTAGACCACAAAAAGTTTTATCATGTATTGACCATACTGCTTTAATGATATTTTGCTTGTAAATCAATATTCTTTCTTAAATAAGGTGAAAAAACGTATTTGATATTCAGGGATCAGAATGTGGATCTTATATAACATGAAGAAATAAATTGCTATTTTTAACTGTTATAAAAGATAGCCTAAGCTGTGTTTTAACTACTATTAGAAATATTTGCAACAAATTGCTAAAATTAAAAGCTATAATTTGGTGGCTGTTTACATGTTACATGTCACTAACAGTACCGAGTCTTGAGCAAATAGATATTTCAGAATATTTTAAGGTATTTAGTAGGACTATGCTAGGAAGAGCGGGTGTGTGAAAAGTTTGTTAGAAATGAGCTGAAAGCTTACAAGTGAGGTGATATTACAGATATTGAAAAATGTGGCATATGTTTGGATTCAAGTTCTAAAAATAAAAGAAAAGAAATGCTTACAGGCATTTTCTGTAGACTCTCTGACTAAGGTGTGATGTTGATAAGAGTATGTTCTTACAGATCAGTTATGCTGCCAACAGGAAAAGGGTTATTATTATGTGAAGTAGACTGAGTTAGACTGTCATTACTGCATGAAGCTGAGGTATTTATGTAACTTGAGTTATTATTTTCTCACTCAGCATGTGAAATACTTGGAATATTATGTAATATTATTTTAGACCTTGTTATTGGTATAGAAAAGGATATAATTAGAAATTTGGTTGTGCAAGAACACTAGAAACCATAACATTACTACCTTTAATGTTTTTATTAAAACCATTTGTAGAGTTAATAAGAGTCACGACAAAAAGTTTAAAAAAACTTACTTCCAAAGACTCAAAAATATTTTAAGGAAGAAAGGCTAATCTAAATGCAAAGAACATTAAAAAAGCTTGGAATGTTTTTGCTAGTACAATCAAGCAATTTGACAAATAATGTATTTTTATCAAACTTCCATTCCAACTAAAAGCCTTTATGAAATGAATGAACAAAATTAAACTTGTAAGAAAAAAAAAAAGGATAATAAGAACATAAATATCATTCAAAAAATGGAGGATGCTGTGATTTATAGAAATAAAACAATAAAAAGTCAAGAAGCTATCCGTAAGGTTAAGAGGGATTATCAACATTTCTTTGCTCAAAATGATATGATATTAAAGGTTTTTGTGCTTAATTTATTATCTGGAGAAAAGGGTCAGGGGTAATATAGGTTCATTAAGATTTTCAAAGTTACTTTATTATAAAGGAAAAGAAAATGGCTAAAATACCAAAGTGTTTTTAACTAGTTGTTTCACAAATGAAGGTGGGAAAAAAAGATATTCTCCTACTGGCTAATTGTTTTAACAATGGGGAGAAGTTTCATTAAATTCTGTTTATGTTGAGGAAAGCTTGACACACTTCTTGAGAATAAAGCTTATGATTTGTCTTAAAGCCTTGAAAAAGCGAAGTTTGGAAAATTAATAATATTATCCCAATTTGCAAAGAGAAAGTCCAGGGAAAATGTCAAAAACTATACACCTACTGTGCTAGTTTGACTTTGTAATTACAGGTGTTCAACATAGTTTTAAGTAAGGATTTTCTGTTTTTAGTGATTAGTTAGTTTCTTGATAGGGTGCCTCACAAGAATAAATGCAAGTTGTATACTTATGGGAATGGAATGGGTAGAAAAAAATAATTAATAAGTGGACAGTAAACTGTCTAAGGAATATAAAGAAAGTTATGACAAATAGGTACCATGTATATCAAAACAACACATCATTGAACCTACAATATGGCTACGAATTTCTCTCACTCTTGGTAAAAATGGTATGAGTAATAAACTTTGAATAGTGGGAATAAATAGCATCATATCTTCTGAAAAGAAAAATAGAGCAATAATGTATGTTTATAATAACTTTATCCCCTACTCTGGATTACTCTCAGGTACCCCATAGTATATGTGTTCTAAACACAAAAAAATCTTCTTCTTGGGCAACTTATATGTACAGGAGTGGATTTATGATGAAGCCACCTATTTATTCCATTACAATAAGCAACATTATTAGCTAAACTTGCTATATGGTCATATTATCACACTAAACTTTATACCTAATCTATGCCAGACACAACAGACTATTATCTATCTGTAAGATTTAACCAACCCACCCTTTGGTTAATTTACAAACAACTTTTTTTTCTCATTTCATGATTTACGTTTTATAAATTTCTGGCTAATAAAAATTTATTGGATGTTCGTCTGGCATCTTCTTTAACATATCTTTTATTTCCATCCCATTACTTATTGTGTTTGACAGAACTCTAAAACACAACTCCTAGTGAACAGTATTCTTCAGTCATGCCAGTACCAAATACCAAAGAAACTAGTAGTAATAGTGTTACCACATTTAAGACAGCATTTACAATACAAAAAAAAGGTAATTAGTTTCATATTAGGAGAGTTTATCTACAAGTTGAAAATAAATGATTTTTTTGTCTGTTGTTAGAATTTTTTTCAAATCAAAGATGTAATACTAAAAATTGTTATTTATAAATTTAATGTCCTTCTTATTCAGAAGAACATGTGGGTTCTACTTTTAAGTGGCTCTCAATCCATACAAAAAGAGCATATTGTTGGAAAAATTTAGAACCAGTACAGCATTTCACAACATATGCTACAATTTTACATACCTATTTTAAGTGAGAATTATACATTAGTGAGTCAACTGATGGTGAGGAGCAATGATGAATTTGGAAGAGTTTAATAATTGATAGTGAAGCCTACAATTAATAAACAGAATTCAATGGTACCACTGCTTTTAAAAGTTTGGTATAAAATGATTAAGATTTATTTTTAATGTATTTGATTTGTTAAGCTACATTTATAATTACATGATAATAAGTTTTGATTCCTATAAAGTGGACATCAGATTAAAGCATTATTAATAATTATTGTAAAGTTTTACTTCAAATACTACAGTTATGTTCTCCTTGTTATAAAATGGGTATAGATATGTTGAAAAGAGTGCAAAGATGAGCAACTAAATTGACATCCGATTTAATGCAACTTGAGAACAAAATTTAAAGAATTGGAATGTTTTCCCCATAGAACAAAAATTATTCTATTCAATTTAAACTTGAAATAACACTCATGGGAGGTTTTGTTTCAGTGGTTGAATTAGAAGGTTAGAAATTAAATCTAAAAAATAACCGGTGATGGTCATAAACTACAAGCATTAGAAGACCAAACTAGTCTTGTTTTCTGGGAAAATTATTTGTCTGATAGTTTGCTAAAAAAGTAGTGGATGTTTATATACTAAATATACTTAAAAGTTTTTTAGATGATTTATGCGAATTGAAGTCTTCTCAAATTTGACTCTATGCTATTTTTTGGCAAATTTAGAGGTAATCTCAGTTTGACAATATAGCAAACGTTTTCATTACTTTTAACATTCTGCAATAAAAGATTAGAACTACAAATAGTTATTACCACCTATATGCTAATTGTATATATATATCTTAATATATTTTTGGTTTAAAAAATGCTACTGTTAAGTTTAAATGTCAACTAATAAAATATGCATTTAACGTTTAGTAATTTTTATTGTTCCATAAGATTATAGACTAAATTTAATCTGACGTTAAACAAACATCTTAAAAAATCATTCCACATGGAAACTTAACTTTAAGCTGGTCTATATTCAGTTTCCAGTGTCCACAGGTTAAAACTCTCTAAGTTACAAGTTAAACTTTTAGTATTTCCTAATATTCCATAAAATGTAAAAAGTTTGTGTTTACTATTTTCCTTAAGTAAAATTATACTATAGTATTTTACTGTTACTAGTGTTAGTTTTACAAATTGATGCAGTGACAGAGTGAGTAGAGCTTATCCATATAAATATTATTTTATTTTCAGTAATGTACAAAAGACAATGATCTTAAGTGACAAAACTATAAATATTTGTTATAACTTATTATTAGTGAAGAACTGTCAAACTTTTGATCCAATATAAACAGCCATTTGCGCGGTCTGAATAATTCAGCACCAATAATACGACACAATCCACGTATCTATAACGTTAAACTTACACTACAGTAGAACTCTAATAAGCAGCCGACTCAAGCGTTGTAGTATCGCCTTCAGACCATAGATGTCATGAGAAGCACTATCCTACTTGTAAGTTGTAGTTTGCACTAGTCGACATTTTCCAAACACATAATTTCGGGCATCTTGCCACACCTACCTTTACTTTTTTAGATAGTTTGCGTTCAGATCCACAAACGGTATAATCTGTAAGCTTTTATCACTGTTTAATATGAGCTTAGATGAAAAATTAGCTTTCAAATAATCAGATACGACATTTTCCGTCAATTTTTGAAATCCAAAATGGCGTCTAGAACAATTTCCCGCTCAAAGTCAAGTTTTGAAAGAGGAATAGAACAACAGTTGTTGAGGCGTATGACAAAATAGTTCAAGTTGTTTACACTTTTTTTTTCACAAAAACACACGTTTTAAAACAAATCGTCAGTCAAAAATACAATATTCTTATTATTTGATATAGTTGATAAAAACATTGTAATATTTTCTGTTTCTTATTAACTTTCAAACATGTGATGACGCTTTCGGTCTTCTTTAATCACTAATACGTGGAGCAATTTAAGGGAGCGTTTATACATCTGAAGTGTTGTTTGTAGGTGTAGATCTATTCATCCTTTGGAGAGAAACGGCTATGCTATATTTTTAACTCTTACTGAGACATGATTATTTAGTTACTTTTTCTAGTCATCGTTAGTTTTGATTTATCATGATGGATTGATGACACTTTATTGTAAACTACACGGGTGTAGTTTACTGTTCACAAACGCGCCCTGGGCAATATCAGGTGTTACCTAGAGTATACACAAAGACAAGCTTGGACAGGCTGTTTCTCCTCTTATCATTTCAAAAGATGTTAGACGTTACGTGCCGGCGTGTTGTTACTGAAGTGTTAGTGATTTTCAGTAATAACAAATTGACTTTTTTAAATTTTGAGCATTTTTATTGGAATACCAATTACCGGGTTTTTCAATTCTCCAAGCCACTGTAATACTAATAGTGTAAATTGTAATTGTAAGTTATATTTATAACAAGTCTAAGCCCAACACTTACTTAGTGAACAACACAGTAATACTAATAGTAATACCAACAGTGGTTCGAATGTGATAACTTAAATCTGCTATCCAGTTTGCTTTTGTGCATTCTGATTATGGGACTTTCAAAACAACACTAAATAATGACATGCTCCTTAACTTCAAGTTCAACTGAACAATTTAAATTTCGACAATGCCTTTGTTGCTGACAGTGAGATGAGGATGAGCAGATACATCTTGTTCCAAAGTGTGAAATTCAACGTTAGTAATTATTATTGTAAATAGTTTTCATTCAAAGTTTACATTTTAATTAAGGATATTCAATTCATGGGCCTTGAATAGTAGCATTATTAGGATTTGCAAAAAAATGAGAGCTTAAGTTCAAACACTGAAATTGAGAAGGAAAATATTAAAATGGCAGATACTTCAACATCAAGTTTTGATGGAACTACAGAAACTCACAGAAACACATATTCAGGTGAGGAAGTTATTTTCGAAAATTTATTGAAGACATTTTTATTCATTGATTAAAAAAGCTGTCAGGTAGTTTTTCACTTTTATGTAAAAAACAAAATATTTAATCTTCACAGTCTCATCCAGGTAAAAATGCTTACTTTTCAATACGAGTTGCATATTTTGAAAGAAAGTCCCATCTTGCTGAAGTATGAAGTAGTAAATGGCATCAGAAAATGAAATGCATGAAAACTCCCAAGCAAAGAATACATTTTTCTACTTTAAATGGAAAACCATGAAACTTCCAGTTCTAAATTTTTTTCAATTACTTGATACATATTCTATCTGCTGATATATAGCCAAGTTTGTAAGGTCTCAAGTATTTGGTTTGCTCCAGGATCTACATAAGAATTTCCCTTTCTGTAATTATATAACATTTCTATGGACCACTTGAAGGGAGCTATCTCCACTGGTCTGCAGAACACAATTTTGGAACCTCTTATCTAGATTATCTAAACATGTACATGTCGAACGTGATCAGAAGTAACTGAAAATAAGAAAAGGCAAGGTAACACACAGCCATTTGTTCCCTTAAGGTCACCACGTGTTAGAAAATATGATTATTTGTATTGCAATCTCACTTAAGTACAATACAGCTCTTTACATTCACACACCTATTCAATAAAATATAAAAAAAACTATATACTCATAGTAATACCAACAGTGGTTCGAATGTGGTAACTTAAATCTGCTATCCAGTTTGCTTTTGTGCATTCTGATTATGGGACTTTCAAAACAACCCTAAATAATGACATGCTCCTTAACTTCAAGTTCAACTTAATTTATGTTATATATAATAAAGTTTATAACTAGCTGAGAAAAAGATCTGATGAATAAATGTGCTTTCAAAGCTTCTATAAACCTTATTATACCACTCATATTCAAGTTTCTGTTCTAAATGTTTTCATTCTACTAGTACTATTCAGACAGACAAGCCACTGAAGGATTATCTATCCCCCCCCCCCCAAACACTTTGAACACCTCTCCCAATTTCTCACTTATTCTTTTATGCTCTAGAGCAGTGTTTCCCATATGGTGGTCAATAGACCGGTACTGGTCCTTGAAATTGAATTAATTTCTACCGATCTGCAACGTGTCTTGGCTGTTGAAAGCACCGACACTGATTTACGTTTTTTTCAACATTTGATGACTAAAAGTTGGCTAAGTCCTTTTTTCTAAACATTTTTTGGAATTTTCCCAGTCCTTGTTTGCAAAAAGTCTGGCAATCACTGCTCCAGAGTACTAATTCCTGACCTTTTTCCATCTGAGGACCAGCTAGTTCTTATCCCAAATTTTCAGACTGATTCATTCAATATTAATTTGAAGTATTTTTAAATTACATTGTAAAACAATATCATTCAGTAGCTATATTTAAACATTTTTTTTTCAACTGTCTTGTGGACTGGCTTTTCTATATATATTAGAAGTTGTTAATATAACAAATTTTTACCAATAATTATTCTATGAATATGCCACAAATTCATTTCATGAATGACCTTAATTTTGATTGGCTCACAAAGGAATTTACATATGTTTGACTGCCTTGATTGCACTTTTTTGCCTTTTTTTTTTTTTTGTTTGGTCAAACTTGATTTCACAAAATTTATTTATTTCAGTTAGCTATGAAATGGGAGGTTATGGTACACTATGGGGTGGGGGTGGTAGTACTTGCCTCGTCATTTTTGACGGGCTATACCCTGGTAACATATAAACAACAGAGGACAATTCTGAACCTTCAAGACTGTTCTTGCACTTCCACCCTTTAAGAATAATGGAAATTTAAACCCACCCTTTAATTTTCAGAAAATCATTGATTTCCCTTTTAAACTCTATTAAAATGTTGGCCTCAACTACTGTTCATAGCAACTCATTATATAAGCCAGTCACCCTGTTATAAAACCTCAAACTGTCTTAACTGGAGCCCAGCTTGTTTTTTTCTAACTTTCAAGTTTGTGTCCTGTAGCCCTGTTTGTCTTCAGAATATAGCACGTAGAAATCACAAGGCTTCATCCTATCAGTCCCCCATATAGTCATGTATGTATATCAGTAATATCACCTTTTATTCTTCTTTTTTTCAAATGAAAATAACTTAGACACTTGGAAATTATTCAAGATGGATTTATTCATTAAATGGTTAGTGAACATACTAGAGAGGTGCTATTGTAGATTTACTACTAACTTTTAATGTGGATGTGATTGAGGGGGGATGGAAATGGGAGAACATTTGCGTACAAGTGATCATTGTATAATTAGGTTTGAGGTGGTATTATGTGTGGAGATAAAAATAATAGTACATTGGTTCCAAATTTTGAGAAGGCTAATTTTAAGGGCAAGAGACAGGAATCGATTCTGATCAATAAAGATACTGATTTAAATGGAAATGCTTGTCAGATTAGGAGTTTTTTTAACTGGGAGATTTTAAAGTTAAATATTTAAGATAAGTATGTTCCACAGAAGAAAAGTAAAATACTAGGGTGACTCACTAGAAATACACTATTAGGAAGAAAGTTAAAAGAAAACATTAAAAAATTTAAGTTTTAAGTTATATGGAATACTTGGAGTATTATAGAAGACCAAGAGAGCCGATTAAAAAGTATTTGAAAATCAAAAAGGTTACCTGAAAATGTTAAAACTAACAGTAAGAGTTTCTTTAAATACATTAAAGGTAAACATAATGATAATTTGAGGGTTGTTGAAGAATGGGTTATTATGGATTATGAGTTGCTAAGTTTATCTTTTTTGTTCAATTTTTACTACAGAAGACATAAATAATATTCCATATCCTGAGAAATAATTAGTATGAAAGCATAATAGATGTACATTAACTTAATATTAACCCTGAAGTTCTTAAAGAAAAATTGCAGAGTTTAGAAAATGATAAGGTTCTTGGGATAGATAAGATTCGTCCAAGGGCATTAAAGAAGTTTAAAGATTGGATAACTGTTACCCTTTACTAAAATTGCTTGTGAATCTGAGTAGTGGGCAGATGCCAACAGATTGGAAGCTCAATAATGTTTCACCTATTTTCAAGGAAGGTGACAAACACTGTCCACTTAATTCTAGGCTAATTAGTCTTCTGTGGTAGTAAAAGTTTTGGAAAGTTTACAGTTTTGTTGTATAGCAGTTTCACATGAGGAAGGTCTTGTCTTACATATCTTTTGATCTTCTTTGAGGATGTCATTGTTTATAATGATGAGGGTAATTGTGTGAATTTGGTGTACTTTGATTTTAGGAAAAAGTGCCAAATAAAATACTAGGAAAGATAGTTTTGTCTATGGGTATGGAGAATAAGTTAGTTCAATGGATATAGGGCTGATAGAGGTGAAGAAGCAAAGGGTTGTAATAAATGATGTTTAGTCAAACAGAATTGAAGTTGAAAGTGGGCTACCTCTTGTCTCTGTGCTTTGAACCCCTGCTCTTTTTTAATATATATTAACAATATTGTTAAGAAAATGGTCAAATATTGGTTAACTTTGTTGATGATATTAAAGTTTTGGGTGTAGTTGGCTGTGAGAGGGATGCTATTGTTGTACTAAGGGATTTGGATCATTTGACAAATTGGAAAAATAAATGGCAGATGGCATTTAATTATACTAAGTACAAAGTATTAGGTTGTCAAGAAATTAGTTACTTTTTTTTTATATGAAAAACCTGTACAGCTTGTATATCAAAACAAAACATTTATTAAATGAAATAGTCTCCATTCTCATCTGATGCTTTTCCATCTTACAATCAGG